GATAAGACACACCAGAGATTCGCCCCTCAATTATTGCGAGGAACTTTTATGATCTGAGTTCTGGTTCCATATAGGCCGCAAGCGCCCCTATAGTTATTACCCTCCCGATCACGAGAGAGAACTTTCGGAATTAAGGCTAGTCGTCAATCCGATACGTAGGATATACGGTGTTATCTGGCATATAGTAGCAGCAATGGATTAGTATTGGTAGAAATTGGATTTGCGAAATTTGAAATTTGAAAGGTTTGGATATTGGGTAAATTGGAGGTTTGATATTAAAAATAGAAAATATTCACCAATCTTGCACTTAAAAGGTAACTGGTGGCGGAATGGATGATGGACCCCCGATCAAGATTCCATGAGGTTCCGTCGTACCGGCGCCACGTGGTCCCGGTCTACTTAGTCAGAGGAGGTAGTCGACCCAACCTGACAGAAGGATCCTTGTCGGCAGCCATGGGTTTGCTATCGTCCAAGGGAACCTATAGACCGGGGTTTGAATGTTTGGGTTTCTAAGGGGACAAATTTTGAATCCACCTTAGGCTTACAGAGGGCTTTTGTGCCCTTTGATCATATCCTATTGATTCATATCTCAAGGATTTAACGCCACTAAGGAGCGTATTGGCCTCGGCCAATAACGCTTATCTGTGGTGCCATTTGGCGCAAAACCACTCGTTCAGAGGGCCCCTACAAACCCATCTGCCTTCCAAAATTTACCCCGGAACTTAGTTCGTTAAAACTCCCTCGCCGAATAAGAAAAGCGAGCGGAGGCCGGGGCCAAATTTTCGGAGCCCACAAATTTGTTCCATAAGAGCCTCAAATGCTTTCTTAAACTCTTTAGAGGTCATTTAGAAACCTCTTTGTGAGTTCAAAGTAACACTAAACAAAGGAGAAAATGGTAGACCGAATTAAGTTGAGTTTTGTTCAACTTCATTCAGAATGATCTTAGGATTTTCTTAGAATGATGGTAGCTCCTAAGGGATACTATGATTCATGTAATATTTGTTCCATAAGAGCCTCAAATGCTTTCTTAAACTCTTTAGAGGTCATTTAGAAACCTCTTTGTGAGTTCAAAGTAACACTAAACAAAGGAGAAAATGGTAGACCGAATTAAGTTGAGTTTTGTTCAACTTCATTCAGAATGATCTTAGGATTTTCTTAGAATGATGGTAGCTCCTAAGGGATACTATGATTCATGTAATGAAATGTTTAGAGCCTTGTGAGGCTCCAAAACATCACGCATGAGGGAGAAGGGCTCCTAAAAGAAAGTTCCCATATTTTTATTTTGAGATTTTTGGATTAATTTCAAATGGGAATGAGGTTAACTGTGGCTTTAGCAAAGATATAGATAAATTTTGTCATGATTTAAAGTATTAGAAGCACATAGGTGGATTTGCAATATTTTAGTAATTTTGATTATTTCATTCCCATCATTTAATTTGAAAGCTACATAAATACAGTTAAATAATTTTGAAACATAAGGGATGTAAATTCATGGCCTTTCTACGGCCCATAAGACATCTCAAATTTATTTTAGAATTAGATGAGCCTATTCCGTTGTCTTTCAAATTCTAGGGGTTTAAGATGTTTTAAGCAAATGATGATTGTCATCATAATATTTAAGGTTTTGCAAATACTCGAAATGAGTTTAATTGATTTTAAACATTGTGAGACTTGTAACATAAACCTTTGGGGGTTTATGAAAAGCCGCACAATGATTTCGGGTGCAATTTGTCAATTAAATTCACCTTTGAATACTCACTAACATTCATAAAAATCCAAAAATCCTAACAAATAGGGGTGAGCTCCAACATTCTATGTCAATTTTGTCATGACATGAGAATTTGGTAGAAATACATGCAACTTGCAACATTTGGAAAACCTACAAGTAGACATTTGATTTAGAATTAAATGGCAGCACCTAACCTAGAGTTTGATTTTAGGTGAAGGTGTTGGGTACAATATCAATGCTATTTCATGCATTTAGAGATTGTTGGACACAAATCCAAACACTCGGCGCTCATCACTATCTTCCTCGGGCTCTCACATGAGAGAAAACAAGTAAAAATCTGTGTTTTTGCTGTTTTGTGGACAGGACAGCTGGTACATATATTTTGCAGAGCAAAAATGAAGTTTCTATAAAACCCTATAGGTTCGGAAGCGTCAACCACATCCACAGAAGCTTGAAGTCCTAGGGGTTTACTAAGTTTCAAGGGGTTTACCTAGCTAAAGATAGTGTTCGGCGGTTCCGGAAATAGCAATTTTACCTTGAAGAGGTAAAGGCAGCTGAAACAAAGTTTTTTGTCTTGGATGATGCCTCGCCGCAACCAACTAGCCAGAGTGAGTATGTGAGGAGGACGAAGTAACTAAAGTTGTTGAGCAGTAGAGAATGTTGTTGATTTCTATTAATGACTTAACTAGTTAAAAAGCTCTTCTTCTCTTGGTTTCTGGATTAGCCGCAGAAAGACCAAAAATGAAGAAGGAACGAGCAATTTTCCTCGATTGCTACTTATTGTGCACAAATGCCTGCCCTAACTCCCTCCACTATAGGAAAATGGCTGATTTCTGAAGAACTTTTTCATCAAAAATCATTAAATTTCCATAGGAATAACACATTCCGGCGGATTTCGAACGAGAAAATTGTTGTTGGTAAAACGCGCATCAGATGATTCTGACGGAAAAAACACACTGAAAATTTTTCTAGCGGCTTTCCAGCGAACATAATCCGACAAAAACATTTCCGACAGATATTTTATGTAGGAAATCGATGCAAGAAACATTTAAAAAATAATTGAATTCTGCCCAAGCGGCCAGCCCGCCCTTAATTTATTTGTTTTAATCAAACTATTTATTTAGTTTAATTTAATCTTATTTAACTTAATTAATTTAATATAATTTGACAATAAGTTATTAAATTACTTAATTTATCAGAAAATTTAAATTTGCAGGAATTTCTAGCGAAACTAAATTCGTCGAAAATCACATCGAAAAATGCGTCAGTAATCCGTCAGAAATATTCCGCAGGAAATTACTCGTTTCTCCTTATAACCCACCAAAAAACTTCCTGAACTGATCGCTTGCTCAGCTTCAACCTAAGACTACACATGAGTAGATGCCGAGCCTGTAATCACTCGCCCCTCTCACTTGATCTCCTATCTAACTCGCTAGATCTACTGGAGACGGCCACTAGAAACTCCCAACAACTATTCTTGCACTTGATTCGATCCCCAAGAATGAAAGGAGAGGCTCCTAGGTTCTCTTCTACCCGCCCACTCCTCTTACTCGATTCCATCTCAAGCCGGCACGAATAGGAGTTCCTAACTCCTAGCTCTCTCCCTCATTCCCTCTAAACTGGCACAAGAGAAACGAGTTCTTTCGCTCATCTCACATCGTCGATCGCAGCACGTAGGAAGCAAAGAATAAAAGGCCTCTCTCCCTCTCTTGTTCGTTTCGTATGTCAGAAACTGAAGACACCAAAATCCCATCTCCTCTATGTGTTGCTCCAAGACATTGCAAATCATGGGATTCGACAACGCAGCAGTAATCGATTTAAGAAAATATGAACTACCTATTGAGAGGGATTTGAGTTTAAATTGAGCTAGCCTTAACTCAATTTGATCTCAGATTGGGTCGATTTTGGTTCAATTGGATTTAATTGGGTTGATTGAACTCAATCGGGCCTAATTGGGTCTGATTCAACTCAATCTAAGTCGAGTCGTAGGTTCAGAATTTGGCAGACTAGATACAATGAATCTCACTATCTGGCTAACACTAAAGAGAATATTAAAGGACCTAATTTATTTTAATCCTAAACAAGAAACAAAGAAATAGAAAATAATATTGTATATGATGGATTATTGAAAACAATGATAGTCACATTTTCCATATTTGAGAGCTAACACCATAAAGTTTACTTGTGGATTGGTTTCCATACTAATGAGCAATGGTGTAGCACATTATTAGTAGAATGGCCTCCATCGACCTGGTTCAAGGTTATACCATGACAAGATTACTTGCAAAATTCAGTACCTTCTGAAGGTCAGCGTTTCCCATTAGTTTTCTGATAAAAAAGAACCTCATTGAGGCACCAAGAATAATCATACAAAAGGTTTTTGTGATTGCTAGAAAATATATCAATGTTCGTGGCTCAACTATTTCTTCCTTTATCTGTATTTTTAGCATTAAAATTTATTTGTTTTTTTTTACATCAATTTTTTTTGTTTTGGAGGTCATTTCTGCAATTATATTTCAAAGAAACAGACAGAATTAGTAAGCAACAACAATTTTCTTACAGAATTATATCATTCCCAAGATGTCTTCTGGCCAAAGTAGCTAGGTAGCGAAGGTACGTTTTGTCATACCCAAATGATCCAAACTCATTTTCAACCTAGCAAACATACTTCTTTAAGCAACCGCTGATATCCAATAGACTGCTAGGACAGGAAGAAAAATCATCCAACTAAAAAGGCATTAACCCACAACCTGAACCATGACAATAGGGCCACCATTCTCATACAGAAATGGAGCAATTTTAGGAAGTAAAATTCCCCACCATCTCTCAACCTGCAAAAGCTCAAGATAAAATTAACAGTTTCAAAAAGAGAATTTACATTTTGATAGGGAATTTTTTAAATGAAGAAGTTTGGTCACTAAGGAGTTTGCCAGCACATTTATTAAAAATATCACCAGAAAAATTGCAAAATTAAATCTAAAAGAAGGGAGCAAAACATTCAAAAGCCTTTATCAGGGCATGAGATCCTGTTATATATTCCTAGAGCAATTTCATAAGCATACAAGAAGCCATTTTTTTATGCAATTAAATAAAGATATCCCTTACGAATATAACCATAAAATTTCTTGGTGGAGAACCATTTTTCAATTATTTTTTATCGAAAAAATTCTTTCAAACAAAAGGAAAATATTAAGAAATGGAAAAATGACACAAATAGCTGGATCTTCAAGGACACATACCAGATTAATGTACCTAGGATCTGAAGACCTTAGCTTCAGAGAAGGCTTTATAGAAAGTAGCCAAGCAGGAAAGCCACCAAGATCCCATTCTGATAAGGAATGCTTACAAAAATAAGACCTTAAAAATATATAAATCATATAAAACTGGAATTGAAATGAGATGAGTATAGTTAATCATCTCACAACCCTAGAAGAAACAATGTTTGTAGCATCTGTAAGGATTCCAACTAAGAAAAAAAATTACATGGACTCCCAAGCCTGCGTAAAATATTGTGGTACTAGCATTGTACTTCATATATTGTTGGCATTCACATTAGAGTTTTGGTTTGGCAGCCTAAACTGAAATTTAATCACTTGATTTCTATTTTTGAAACTATTTCTTGTCCTAATTTAATGAGATCAATCTAAGCCAGGTCTCTTGCCAAAAAAAAATAAAAAATTTTGCAGGCAATCCGGTTATATGTGACACATTTAAAACATCTGTGTTTGTCCAAATAACAACTTTCTGTTAATAGACATGCAAAATACGTCACAATATAAACATTTTATTAAATGATCAATAAAGACATTGGCAACCTAAATTGACATAAAAATAAGAGGAATACTTATAGTTATAAAAAAATAAATAAAATAAATAAATAAATAAAACTTATAGTTATCCATTACACATATATCCAGACTAGCCATTAATGAACTATTACAAAGGAAACATCCAAACAAAAAAACTTAAGTGATATGTTTAAAAACAGCATGGCATTCAAATAGAAGGCAAAGAAAATCCAATTGGCAAGGTAGGTGATGCAGGACGAAAATGAGGAGAAATGCGATGCGAGGGAGAGTATCTCTTCACCAAAAATCTGAGAGCAATTTTCAGGTTTCTTTGTTCCAAAACTTGTGAGGAGAGGTGGGGAAAGAAACAACCAACAAGAGCCTTTGAAGTTCTCGGCCAGCAGCAGGGAGAAAATTTGTTGATTTTCAGATTTTTTTACAGAAGAAAAATTGAGAGGAAATTTGAGATTAATTAACCCAAGGGGGAGGCTTTGAAAGTTTCGGCCAACAGCAGGAAGCTGAGGAAATCTGGCCAACTACAGCAAACAGGATTTGGAAACCAAGGAAATAAGTTAGGAATTAAATACAAAATCCTAATCTCAGGGATTTGGAAATTAGCTTAAGGGAATAACTCCAATTCTAATTCCAAATCTTCACGTGGGGGACTAGAGAATTAAATGGTTCTTTAATTCCCTGAGATTTTGAGAATTCTCAGATTTGGAAATTCTTTCCCAACTCAGCTGGAGTTAATGAATGAGAGGGGGGCGGGTGAGAGAACAAGGAAAAAAGGGAATTGTTTTCCTAAATCAAAGATTTGATTTAAGAAGTAACGGCTGGGTGGGAAAGATTTGAGTTAATTGCAAAGGGAAATATGAGTCAGCTAGGAAATAAATCCTAATTGACTAAATAGGTGGCCGGCGACAGGGATAAGCCAAGAGGGAATTTAATAAAAAAAAAATAACGCTCTTTAAAATAGGTATAAGATTTTGGAAAGTATTATTAGTGATCCAATTTGAAATTCAATTTCAAATTATATTAAAATAAAAACTTTTCCAAAATAGGAGAATTATTTTAGGAAATAATTTTGAAATTCAAATTCAACGAAATTTGAATTTCCGGAATTATCCCTTAATAATTCATACCCAAAGAGGAGATTTATGAGATGGTAGAGGGCTCAATTAAACTTAATTTGAATTTGAAATTCAAATTGAGTTAATTAAGAAACTATCCTAAAATAGACTATTTAAACTAGGAAAGATTTTGAAAATTCGCCATGATGAATTTCGAATTTCAAATCTTCCCACATTCAATTTAATCTAAAATAGGAAATAAATTTGGTTGGAAGAAAGGAGGGGAGTGGTCGGCGGCTTATGGTGGAAATGGAGAAAGAGGGGGGGTTTTCGGGTAGAGATGAGTCCGTTGGCCAACCGAAGATGGGGAGGAAGAAGATGGAACAACACAAAAGATAGAAGATAAAACGAAAGATGCAAAGAGAAAACCACGAATCCGGCTGTCTCCAAGGTTAGTGGGTGATACGATTGCCCTTCTCCAAGGGACTCAAATCACGAGCTCGGACCCATCCTGCGGCTGGTGAAGACTTCGATTCCTCTCATAGGAATCTCACTAACGCTCTCTCACAAGAAGAACACAAGTGTGGAAAACAAAATTTTTTATATCAATTAACCATGCTATTACAATAGCTTAAGGCCCTATATATAGGAGCTTCATCAACATTCTTCGTTGTAGGAGTTTTAACGGGGTCAGAAGAAACCATTGCTTCTGTAGGAGTTGTAATGGAATCAACCAATTCATCTTATTCTTTAGATTCTTTATTGATCACCTTAGATTTCTCTTTGATTTGTACACTGAGTGGGAAATTGAAGGCTTCATTGGCCTCCATCCATTTGTCCACTCTATCCACTATCTCTCTGTCTCTTAGTGCCTTCTTTCGATCCTTTGATGAAGGGGTTTTTGCATAAAATAGTGGGTTAGTCCTGCCTCGCTCTAGGTGATCGAATCGTTTGATTGTTTGACGGTGGAGGTCGGCTAAGTCCGCTTGATCCTCCTTGAGTTGTTGACTAACGGCGCCTAGTTGACCTACCAACCAATCTAAAGTCCGTCCAAGTTTATCCGAGTCCATGCTCTGATACCAGATAATGCAGGACGAAAATGAGGAGAAATGCGATGCGAGGGAGAGTATCTCTTAAATTGAGTCAACCAAGTCTTTCTCTGCACATTTCTCCTTGTCAATGACTTCTATTTGTAAATGACTTAAAGTTGTAAATGACTTCTATTTGAATTTCAAATTCAAATTAGATTTAAATACTTCTTTCCTAAATCCTAAATCCCAAATCCCAAGTTTGGCAACCCAAATCCATTCCCGAAATCCCCTCCCTGGTTTGAAAGCTGCCAGCCCACTGGATGGATAATTAGGATTTATTTCCTAATCTCTTACTAAGCCTCTTTGGAAATAATTCCCCTTTCTTGCCAACCGAAATTCTTTTAAGCCCAAGCCATTATTCACTTTCTAAACCTGTAGAGTAGAATTAGGAATTAACTCCCTAATTTTTCTCCATAGTCCCGTCAATCCCCTTACAGATTTTCTCAAAATCTGTCCACAAATTTTGCTCCCCTTTTTGGAAGAAATTTGGGATCCAACCTGCTGCTGGCCGTGACTCTCAAAGTCCCAACCTAGGTTGTTTATCTCCCAAATTTCCCTGTGCACCTTCAACTCTCCACTTGAGTTCTAAACCCCAAAACCCTTTCTCTCCACTTCCATTCTCTCAAGAAGGAAATCTGAAGTTTCTCTCAGAATTTTGGATCAAAATCTGAAACAGTTTTCAGATTTTTGGGAAGCGGACTTAGAGCGTGTTTCCTACCCCTATTTTCTCAAGAGAAAATCTGAGAATTTCCTCTCAGATTTTTGGTGAAATCTGAACTGGCTGTCAAAAAAAATTGGAGAGGAGATTTGTCCCTAGCAAAGCCCCTTTCCGTTCTACATCAGTAGGATTTAGTATTACATATATAACTATATAGATTAGAATGTGGCGCTCGGATAAAATTGATACCAAGGAAGGAACAAGCCTAGAATAAATTCAAGTACTTTATTTGAAAAGTTATTAAAATTTAAAAAAAGGATTTTGTTTCTGAAGGTTTGAATTCAATACTCTTAACTTTTTCGAGAAAAGGTGAAGGGGATTACGACCTAATTTTTTTCTACACTTCTGAGCTATGGAGCAGCCTCAACTTAAATTGACTAGGATGATAAAAATGTTTTCAAAATAAAAATTAAAAACAAAAAGATAGAGAACAAAAGTTAAAATTATAAAATCATCAACTTGTTTTATCCCAGATTTTTGGGCTTAAGAATTGAATATCAGGTTATTTCCAGTTTAATTAAACAACAACAACAACATAGTTCTCCTTCCAACAACTAAGCACATAGAAGATTCTATCAAATCCCATTCTTTTTTTGAGAAGATGCACTAAGCAATATTATTAATCAAGAGAAAAATAAAGAGTTCTAAACAAAGTAAAGAGTATCACATTCATCCTTCAACACTTTGTAGAAGAAAGGAAGAACGTTATTGGTAACCAAATTGTCCCAAATATAATCACCAAACCTTAGCAAGGTTAGCACAACAATCGGCTAACTTATTACATCTTCTATTCACATATTGAATAATAACTTGATTGAAATTTCTAAGAAAGAAAAAATCAAGAAATTTGGCAATCGGCTAACTTATTACATCTTCTATTCACATATTGAATAATAACTTGATTGAAATTTCTAAGAAAGAAAAAATCAAGAAATTTGGGATTGTTACCTACAGTTAAACCATAATTAAAGATCTTCTGGATATGCTTCATAACATTGTAGTTATCTCCTTCAATAATGATTCCTTTAGCATCATACATCCACTCTTGTATTACCTTCTTTAAAGCCAATAAATCTTCCATCTCAAGTGCCGAGATATCCCAATGTGTACGTTTGAAACCAAAGGCAAACAAAAATCTACCTTTACTATCTCTAATTACACCTCCGATTCCAGCAATATAATTTTTACCAAGAGAAGCATCCACATTGAGTTTGATCCATTCGGTTGGAGGGGGTTTCCAAGTGATTGGAAACACAAATGCTGATTAGAAACCCAGTTTACCGAAATAAGATTATGGCCGAAAGTTAATGCAGCAAAGTTGATAGCGTTGACTGCAATAACATGTAGACTATCTTCTTTCACCCCATGAATAAGCTTATTCCTACTTTTCCATGAGAAGAAAACAGCAGAACAATACAAATTGCCCATGAAAGGATTGTAAATAGAAAATTAAGAAAGCCATTTGTAACAATTATCCAGATCTGATAAAACAGGGATATCATATCCCCATTTTTTAATGATGTTGATGACTTCTTTAAGGAAAAAACAGTGAACTGCTAAGTGATTGGCATCCTCCACAGCACAGCATCCTCTTCGGCAGCCATTATGATTGATAATTCTTCTATAAATTAAGAATTCATTAGAAGGAATTGCTTTATGGA